ATATATAATAATCTTATATTGTAAATTAAAAAAAAAAACAACACTGGCACTGGGCTACAGAAAGAAACCCAGGTGAGGGGGGCTGTATATTTTTCCAGTGAAGTGGCAAGCACTGTATGTGAGTACCAGTTTACTGGCACTGTAACTGTAATTGCCATTACAATCGTATCTGTACAGAGCGTACTGCAAATTCTCTATTGCCAGTTGACATGTTCCCCCTGTAAAATAACTGAGAAGTCAGGAAAAAAAAAACAAAGGCAGGAAGAGGTGACCAAATTCTGAAGAAAGGGGAAAGAAGGGGCTTGCCTAGGAGCCACAAATGCTAGTTTTTCTGTCTGCTGTATGATCAAGATTTATTTAAGAAAACTTAGTTCCCAACCTTAGCTCATATACAAAATCCATTTGATTAGAAGAACACAGAAATGAAGGATGCTACAATACTCTAGTCCACAAGCTACAGGTATAGAGGTACATTGTATACTGTCTTTACATTAATTTAGATCTGCAGACCCTAGTAACTAAGGTTTATCATTATATCTATTCACAAATCAGGTTTTTACAGGCCCCTATATAATAACAATCTGGTCTCTGACTAAGGCGCTCAGACATTGTAATTTATTTACAGAGAAGTAACGACACTTTCTTTACTTCCTGATTTTCCTTTTGGTCAGGGAAAATTACTACATCGTTTAACAACTGAAACAAAGTTTGGAAAACAGAATCGAGAAAGAGTGCGTGTGTGTGCACGCACAGGTTTCGGAAGAACAAAAAACCCGTAATGCTCTCTCAGGAACACTGAACTCGGCAAGAATCATTAATTCTGCATCAGTTCCCAACAGAAGCTGTGAAATAATGTTTTCAAATGAGCTTTTAATATAATACTAGAATTTTTTTAATTGATAGGCAACATCAGATATGTCAAATAGTCTCAAAATTTAAAATCCCTATCGAGCCCCATGAATGGCCCACTTGGAAAATTGCTCAGTGTGTGTCTCTCAAACTCCCTAGTGCTTAGTGCCACTGAGAATTCAATTATGTACTTTTCTTCAGGCTTCTGTATTTAAGACTTTCACTGTAAGGCCAGATTTTCATCTGGTGGCGTAAAATAATTCAGATCTATAATTCAGGTATATAAACCTGTATGTGCCTCCAGCGATTACTCAACAGCAGTTCACTGTAAACAACCTCAAAGCTCCTCTTACATCAATCGACCCGCTGGAAGACAACGCCTGTTGGTATAAATACCCCAAAACTTCATTGCATAGCAAAGCTTTGAAAGTCTAGCTGCTTCTGATTTATTTCCCACTCATCTCTAATCTGTGAGTAAAATAAGGATATTTCATCCTTTCTGTTGCTTTACATTCATGTGGCTCCACCAATAGCAACACTAACCCAAGAAAGAGGAACATTTGTGCAAAGTTAGACCAAAGGCTTTGGCACTGGAGATCTTTTCCTCATCTCACATGCCAGTGACTTGAATAGCAATAAAGCATCAGCCTGTCTAACATCCTCCACGCATCACTCGGCTACAACCTCCGAGAATGAAGTCGCTATGGTGACAGCACCTTTTTTTCAGTGCTAAACGCTGTGTTCTCGTTTGGCAACACCAACCTCTCCTCTGCAGAACTTTACTGCAGGGAGTGCCTGAGAGCGCCCGTTATTTACCCTTCCCTTTTAGGACTGGTTCTAAATTATGTTTAATCAACATTTCCCACCATGAACGCCACCACCAGAGGTTTATATTCTCTATATCCCTAAGGCACAAGATTCAGACAAACTCATAGCTGAAAAATCTGCTGAGTTTACGGAGGGTTCCCACCCGACTTTTAAAAGCAGTGCTTTGTACACAGACACAGTTCACGACTTCAGATTTCTCTTGTGTGCAAGCACTGGAGGTCAACTATGCAAGCAAGGCTCGGTATTTGATTCAGCCCTAAACCCCAAGCATCTGGTATCTGGTAGAAAAATCCATTACCCTCAAAGTTTGAAGAAACATTTATCCAAAGTAAATAACTCACAGGTGTCTTTTCATAGTGTAATGCCTATTATTACAAAGCATCTAAGACTTATATACGACAGAGTACGAGGCTCCATAGTGCAACTCAATGGCCGACAGGAAGGAAGTTACAACTGGTATCAGGCGTAAATGGAAAAAGTGCGCCAGGACGCAGCACCCGGAACAGCAAAGGTGTCACTGGAGGCTAAAAAAATACACCTGTGGAATGCGCCAACGTTTCTCGAAAAATTTTGCCTAGGTTTTATTTTTCTAAATCTCTGAGTAGATACATATGTGTTTATGCACATACATGTGTGATGTGTTATATGATTAAACAAGAACAGGCAATAAACAAACAACAAAAACGTACTGTCTCTATTAAGAGACTTCTGGAATTACGCTGGAATTCCTCATCCAAACCTGCCTCAGTCCGATCCTTGCAGGTCATTAATAAAATACGGCTCACTCTGTTTGTAACCTTATGCCATGTTACTTTTATACCATCTTCCTTGGTCAGTGTCAGTGGGACTTGCTGTCAAGCATGCGACAAAAATCAAAATTATTTTCCCATTGCTTTACAAGAGACTTTGGATTTCTTCCCTTCCTCAAACCCTCTCCCTGATCGAGTAGTTGCATTTTTTAAGCAGTCTGTGGGTTTTTACAGCTCTGAGCTCCTAAATGACATCTAGATCTGATAGGTTTTCTAGACTGCTAACCTTTCTTGCATGAAAAAAGAAAAAAAAAAAGCATGACCTTACAACAGTGTTTCAAGATAAAATGCAGTAATGGAAATTTAAACTAAAATTAATTTCTTAAATGATGCACTATTTCTGTTGTTCTCCCTTCCTACCTGCGAAAACATTTGTAGATGGGAGGTACAAGTCCAAGAAGAGAAAACCTTCCCCTCCCACAGTGTCAGAATACATCAGTTTTTCCTGGCTTAAAGCAACATATCACCTTGCTGATGTTCAGCACATACTATTTACACACCCTGAAGTCAAAATACAGACTACCAAGAGCGTGGAGGGCAGAGAGGACTGAGCACAGAAGGAAAGATTCTTTCCTGTTTAGGAAAAATGGGATCTATTTGAGCTGACAGCGACTTGAGTAAAAAGATGATGGATGTGATTCAGAGTGAGCGTCATCGAGCTTGGCACCAGCCCATGGCTGGTACAGTCCAAACGCCGGGAAGCTGCAACGGCTGAGCCTCAGTAGGTGTCAAAAGTGTGGAAACGTAAGGACAGACTGAAAGGGAGAGGTGAAAAGAGAAAGAAGGAAACAGGACAGGGTCAAAACAACAATGCACAAACTTCTGGAAAGTTTGGATTTGCAGCTCGGAGCCACAGCTAGAAAAAAAGTTGTACTCTGCTTTCGGAGAGTTGTTTTCCGACTGTACGCACGTAGATTTTGTTACCTAGCTCAGCGAAGCCTGTCCTGTTGCGCACACTTCCGCACACCTAAAAGATACGCTGAAAGCGTTGTAGCACTTTTGCGAAAGTCCAACAGAAAGGGGGGGGGGGGGCGGCTAACACCAGAAAATAAAAGAAGGCAAGAGCTAGATGGAGAGTCTGAGGGAAGAGGAGGAAGACAACGTTCTGCATAAAGGAGAGAGACATTTTAATGCGTCTGCAACTCACAGTTGTGGTGGTGGTAATCTCCTCCGTTACAACCTTCAGCGTATCGACCACGGAGATGTACCCCAGACGCCTCGCGATCGCTAAGGCAGTGTTCCCATTCTGAGGAGAGAAGAGGGAAGGGGAGAGCGAGCGCGCAGTGAGAGGGAGGACTGTGATGTGAACCAATGAGATCACCCTCGGCACGGCATGAGCCAGCATTTCCATCCAAAACAAGGCGCAGCCTAGGAAAATCACCGTTTTTTTTTTTTCCTACCGTTACATCTGACTCTGTCTTTGTGACTTCTTTAAGACTATAGCCCCGATTACCATGGTAACACAACACACTTACATCTGCCTGCTCTTCTACACAAAAAAGTGCTGTATGCTTTAACCCTTCACTGCTCAAATTCCACTATACACAATGTGTCTTCTCTGCGGAAGTTCATGTTTTATTTTGCATGAACGGCTCCATATCAGAAATACTCTTCTTACCAAAAAAAAAAAAAAAAAAAGTATTTTAAAACGTTACAGTTTCACTTCCAGTTGGAACTGTTATATCTTTACCAGGCACAACTCCCTCTTCAGGGAACACAGGATTAAAGCTGCGTTGTCCACATACGCTTCTATTCCTCCTTACAACAAAAATGTACGTCCAATAAAAGTACACAACAGCTAATGATTTAACAAATACAAAACCAACCTACATAAGGCTTGGGGGTGGGGAATTAATCTCCCTTTCAACAAATTTATTTCCGGTTTAAATGCCCACGATATACAGGTGTGCCATTCATCAAATGAACATTAAAATGATAATTTAGTAAGTGTTTAGACCTATTTATCTCCATTTCATCACCTGGAACATTGGCAGTCCACAGCCCCCCTGTCACTCAGCTTGGGGAGGGGAGGAAGGGTCGGGTTCCAGGATTCTTTGTAGAGAGCTCTACACAGAACTGTTTTATGTTATTTTGCCCTGAACCCAAGGACAACGTGCTGGCCTACCGGGGGAAACACGGAAAGCCACCGCACCGCTCTTTGCACTGCGGTGACTTCTCTTGGGACACCACTGCACCGTGCGCACAGGCTATCGGCCTGAGGGCTCCTCTCTACTTCAGCGTCGGCTTTCGTTATCTGTAATTTAAGTTCTTCCGTATCAGCCTAGCTCGCCAACCCCGAAGCACCACAGTGTTTGTGGATTAGCAGCACAAAATGAAGAGACTAGCATCTTCACAGCCCAAATTATTTGACTGTTAACCATCACTTGCACCTTAACTGCTCATATCCCACTCCCACAACGCCCTGCCACGGTGTCTCAGGTTGAAATTCTCTCTTATCTCAAGCTAGAGGTTGCTATGTGTGGACAAGAACAGATCTAGTACCCGAGAAAGCCTGCAAACTGTACAGCAAAGGCACATCCTTGAGACCCTGCTTGGATTTGGGTTAGACTTGGGCATGACAGCCCCAACACGAGGCCTGAAAGCAAGTAAAGAAACCTTTGGTTGAATATGCCTCCTAGTATCTACAGCCCCAGAAGCTGACTACAAAGGTCTCCTGCTTGATGATCTGGTACATAAGTTGGTATTTTGGACAACTTCACTGAAGATTATTCAATGTGATCGTTCTGGGACCAAACAGGGCGCCAGTGCCAATTTAAGCGTGCACGATGTATGTACACGGAAACTTGGGGAACGACATGAGTTTTGGACATTCTGGCTGCGTTTTAAAGATCACCCAATTAGAGGGGACTAATACCAACATCAACATGAAATAGGACAGTTGCATTCCCGGTGGACTGCGGAGAAGGAGCTATGCCAGAGAAGGTCTTTAAGGAGGCCTAACATCGGTGAACTCAGTGAGAACCTGAAACAGATCCAGGTAGATGGGACAGAAATTTAGGTCTAAATCTTCAAAAAAGCCCAGGTTCTGATTTCCGCTTAATTTTTATAGAAAAATCCTTATCAAGATACCAATTTACAGACGGAAGCGTTGAGGCAGAAGGCAACTGAACAAGCACAGCACAGCTAGCTGTGGCCAGCCTGACCCTGCAGCTCAGAAATCAGTTTCCCCACCTCACATTTAGCTTAGTGCACAACAGATGTGATCTGAACCACCTTAAGAGGAAAAGGATAAGAAGAGGAAGTTACATTTACACATCTGACGACCAGCTGTATGAAGAATACTTCCACCAAAACAAAGGCTTGCTCTCAAGCCCTAAGAAAGGAAAGAAAAGAAAAGAAGAAGTTCCTACTGGGACTTCACAGACTTACAGTGGTGATGGCGTTGGGCTTGGCCCCATGTTGGAGAAGAACGTTAATGATGTGAGTGTGGCCTTGTTGAGCAGCTTGGTGAAGAGGGGTGTACCCATTCTGTTGTCCACGGTGGTTACGATAAAAGCAAACAAACAAAGAACAACAACCACCAGTAATTAGATTAGACACTTCGCTTTGCTTCCTTCTGCTCCTTTTGAGACATTGCAAAAAGAAATTATGCCATCAATCGACCCAAAGATAATAAATTTTCAGTAATTACCATAGTCCTTCCCCAGATTAATGAAAAGATAAAGGAAGGTAATATTTTTATTCACAAATCATCTTTCATCTCACCATCTAAGCAATCTCTGGAAAGGTATGTAATTCCTCATTTCCTACATCAGATGGAGTAACAACGAGGAACAGTGAAGTTAAAGTGGCACGCTACGGACATAAATCATAGCTGAGGCAGAGAACTTTTTTCTTCCTCCTACTTTTCCACAGAAGCCCCAAGATTTGCCTTTAAAATATTTGAGCCAATTTAAAAAAATACATAATTTTTAACAGCAGTGATTTGAGACTATTTGCTTTTAAAAAGGCTAACAACCTATACCTATTACAAATGTCAATCAATTTTAGCTTTACTTTGCCTTCCAAGCTGTAATTGCACTTAAAAACATGTACACAACGTCTGTATTAATAAACACGCCTGGCTCCACATACTTATCTGCTCCAGTGATTCGTTCCAACGCTACACAATACAGAAATATAACCAAAGCGTACTGCAGCTCGCTGATCTGAGATGGTATTGTGTAAGTCCAGTCAGGCAATTCATTTACAAAATTATTTGCAATTGGCTTTGAAAGCAAGCAGAGAATAAACTGGAAGAAAACACCAAGCTGATCTCACTGTACACTTATGTAAAGCCTGGGGGCAGACTCTGAAAGGCACACTCTGAGAGTTCTCTCTCTTGCAAATGATTAGATGCACGTAATGCTCTATACTACTAATTAAATAGCGATAGTTCAGAAGTGTTACAGTCCTTATATTTACAGTATGCGTGCATGGACTACTAAGAAATCGAAGGAGGATTTTACTGTAGGTCGTAGTGCAAAGTAATTTCCTGTCTTAACTTAAATATTAGTGCAGTCCTTCGAAAACACAATTCAGCCATATTATTTGTCACCGGAGATGGCACAAAGCATGATGCAGGCTTTCTCTAGTTAAAGACCAAGCTGCAGCAGAGGTTACTTATTCTTTAACATGCCTATCCTGAATCCAAACTGAGTCCGCAGTGCCAGCTGACAGATTGCCAGCATTTTTATTGGTCCCTAGGTGTGAGAATTTGGACAACCACTGCTCCATACTCTCATGCAAACTTGCTGACTCTAATGACGTTATTCTAAGTGAAATAACTGGGGAAATGGCATCAGAATCTGGCCCAGCGGCCCCTTAGACATAGAGCGAGACTTAATACTAATGACGCAGAAGTATGTCTGTCCCTTTCGTTAGCCTCCAAATACCTCAGCTGAACGTCTTGGCAGCCCTCATTTGGATCCTGCTAGTGTCTGCTTTATTAATTCTTATCAGCTGTTTTTCTCGTAGCCTTGCCTGCTCTCTTGGAATCGCTGCGTTTTGCCCATTCATTTTGGGTGATCTCACACAGGGTGGGCCAGCATCGTTTCTTTGTTTACTTTGCTGTTTCTTACCACGTTGATGAAATAGTGCTACTTCGAGAAATACAACCCTCCTGTAGGTCACAGCTGGGGACAGGGGAGCTGGGCAGAGGGACCAGCAGACCACAAGCCTGTGATTTTGACTGGATCTTACAAATACTAAGTATGTCACTAGATGCATCAATGGACTTCTTCATCTTGATCCCAAGACATCCAACCTGAAGCTAGTAGCTAGCTGTTGCCTCAAGCCAGCTTTAACTAAGCTGAAGCCCCTGCAGCTCCGGGGTTAGCCTTCTCGTTCCGATAAGGGTGATGTGATGATGTCTGGGGTGCAACACACTGTTGCTGCCTCCAGAACCTCCCTGTGTGTACTCAGGAGATAATACAATTCTTGCTACAAAATGCATCACGCTGAGCTGTTGTGCCCATCAGTTTATATTGGAAGATATTCCTCCTAGCAGATTGGAGAGAACCTGGCATCACCCTCAAAGGGTCTGAATTGTTACTTACTAGCTTGGCAGCGCACCGGTATTACACTGGTGTAAACCATGTGTAAGCGAGATCAGAAACAAGCCCGCATTTCTTTGTAAGTAAAAGGAAAAAGAAAAAAAAACAAATTTATTCTCCACCTCCTTCTTCCATACGCCCAAAGAGTTATCTGACTTTTCTTTTGTGAACACCACGCAATGAGATGTAGCAGAGAGAAGGCATCCCACTACAGCCCCGCATCACCAGATGTTGACACCTACCATGCAGCAATTATAGTTTCCTAGAGAAAAGATGCCTGTGGCCTGTATTTGTAGTGCTTGGTTACCAGGCTGATGATAAAGAGCAAAAGCAAGCAATGAAAAATTCTTTACCTTTGTTTTAGCGTTGACATTTGCGCCCTGCTTGAGAAGAAAATTCACCATTTTGATGTTTCCGTAGTGACACGCCACAATTAGAGGTGTATAGCCAAGCTACAATAAGAGAACAAAGAAGTAAAACTGCAAGCTCAGTGGAACATTCCTTTTACAACGGTAGCATCCTTTGGCTCACTGGAGACAGTGGCCACTCCCCCATTTACCTTTGTCTGAGCATCTTGGTTCGCACCGTGTTTTGTGAGTATTTCAGCTACGTTCACTTTATCCTCTTGAGCTGCGAGGTGTAAGGATGTCAGTCCAGTCTGGAGGTGGAATACAGAAAATAAATAAAGAGAGAGAGAAATAAGAATAAACCCCTCTTTACATGAGGAAAGAAATCTAGGCGTTCCCACTTTCTCATCTTTAAAACATGAAGAGATCCTAACTATAGCTTCTAAGGATGCGTTGAACAAAGTAGAGTTGATGTTTCTCCTGTTCTGGCTGACAAACAGCTCCAAAGCAATTACATCATCATAACCACAGAGTAAAACTTTCAGGCATCAATGATCAAGCTCGGAATTTATACAACAATGTTGCTTGGGTAGCTGGGGAGCCCATTAATAAACTGGAGAAGCACATTCACTGTGCTTCCCACTCCTCAGAAGGGAAAGGGAACCCTGACAACTGCAGGCACGACTCAGAATGAAGAAAATAACTCCGGAAATAAATCCCATTCGAAGAAGCCAAGGAAATGAATGCAGCTTTTAACTAAAAGCTCACTGGGATCACACACACAGTCCTGGCCTGTGAACAAGGCAGGGAACAAATTTTGTAAGAGGAATGAAAATCACCTTGTTTATGAGGTAGCATAATACAGTAATGCCAGGCAGTGAGAGACTTGAGCCTTCTACTTTGACTTGTATGAACAAAAGCTGCAGGCTTTTGACCTTCACTAAGTCTCACATATATGCCTGCATCAATCTGGCGACCTAAGATCTACAGTAACGGGGTTTTTTGAGGAACTTGTTTTCCAAGAAAAAGCTGTCACGTACAATCATAAGAAATGTTTAAAAATTGGAAAGGTCCTCCATAGGATTTTTCTCACTCGCTACTCTGCTAATAATGCTGTTTTGTTATTTGCCAGACACTGCCAATTTCTTCCACTTGGAAAGAAGGCTGAGGGGTAAATATATGAGGAAAAGCGCCTTTGCTGGCAAGAGCACTGAACTATTTCAGACTGTAGCTCCCAAGTTTCTGACACATGTTGTTATATCTACTCATTTGTAAACCTACAAAACTCCAGAATCTTACGTTCCCCTTCCTTTGCACCTCACGTAAAACTTGAGGAGCACATGCAAAACACCCAGGAGATTGCAAGGTTGCAGCACAACAAAAATACTGCAGCCCTGCCTTCCTGAGTGCTCAGAAACAATTTTCTGGTGGTTTGCCTTTCCTCCTGTAACCTCTCGACCAGAGCCAGGCGTTAATACCATTTTCCTGCGGTCATGGCAAACAGCTGCAGCTCCTCCTGTGCGTTACCCAGGACAGCTATTAATTACACGATATAAGTTCACCGGTCAATCCATCTGCCAGTCCTGGATATCATCTTCCCATTTTTACTGTTCACCCACCTGTTGTCACCTCTGCAGACTTACGAATATGTATATAGGGAAGTGAAGCTGAGAATCCCTGACAATGTGACATCATTGCTACACCGCACCGTGCACCTTACTGGATACTCCCGCCCACGATACTCCGTCTCCGGTTGGGAGTTACCTTTGTTGCCACATGGATATTGGATCCTTTCTCCAAAAGCAAGGTCACCATGTCAGTGTGACCTTCTTGGGAGGCCAGGTGAAGCGGGGTGACTCCCTGCTTGGTCAAAATGTTGGTCTCGGCCCCATAGTTCAACAGAGTGGTAGCTATCTGCATCTGATTTTTCTTGGCAGCAATATGCAGAGGGGTGTATCCATTCTAACACCAGTCAGGAAACAAAACAAGAATAAGGTTACCACAACAGCCGTGTAAGAGCCTAAGAAGTCAGACGCCATAAAACAGTATTATTTTGTGTTACCCCTTATTGCTAGAGATGAGAGTTCATTAAATTTTCAAGGCCAGACGTGTCCCACATGGCCCTGCTGTTGCGTTGCTTTGTCCGTCTGTTATCTTCGCCATCTAACCGAGAACAAAGCCAGCCCTCGCTAAGATGGGCAGGACTGTTCAGCTGATACCTTCAACATAATCCCAAATTTGACACCTACGTTTTGAATAACCTATGTTGTAAATATTCAATTTTGACTGATGAGTGACGTTCTCAGTGATGAGTGATGGATGTACGCTCTTCACCGCACTAAGTTTTTTCGCAGCGTGTGGGTAGAGGTGTTTTTGCATATGGAATTTTGATACGTGTGTCAGTCGCGGCACTGGCTGGAAACAGCAGTGGGGAGGAATGTTTTTCCAATCAAATTAACCATTTAAGCAAAGCAGAATGGCATTGATGGCCCTTTCTGGCAATGAGACAACTTCCCACCTTTAATTGGTTTACAATGCACTGTGGGGAAAAATTCTAGGTTACAGCAGACACTCCCTCTGGAGGTGTGTGGTTGGTTGGTCTGTGCCTTCTATTTAAAAGGGAGCTTTACCAAACTATCCTACTGCAACTGTAGCTTTTGTTGCTCTCCATGCACAGCAACGGAAACAACAGTGTTGTGGGAGTTGGTCTCTTCTCCCAAGTAACGAGAGATAGGACGAGATGAAATGGCCTCAAGTTGTGCCAGGGGAGGTTTAGGCTGGATATTGGGAGAAATTTCTTTACTGAGTGGTCAAGCATTGGCACAGGCTGCCCAGGGAGGTGGTGGACTCACCATCACTGGAAGTGTTCAAAAAACATGTAGATGTGGCACTTGGGGACATGGTTTAGTGGGCATGGTGGTGTTGGGTTGATGGCTGGACATGATGATCTTAAAGGTCTTTTGCAACCTTAATGAGTCTGTGATTCTGTAACAGCTCTGATACAATCACTTAACAGACCGTGGTTTTTGGCAGCCTGTACAACTGCAGCCTCTCACGCGGCAGAATGTTCTGACATCAGCGCCAAGCTGCTCGTTATTTTCCCCTTTTGGGAGCCATTACCTAACACAGCCATACCATGACACTGGTCCTAACCCTGGAATGAATGCTCCCTACGCATGGCCAGAAGAGAGACATCATTTTTAATGTGTTACACAACACTGGAACGACTTCCAGCTATAACTAAAGCAGGCGGCGGGGCCGGGCGGGCGCCGGGAGCTCACCTTGGCGGTCGCGTGGGGTGAGGCGCCCTTCTCCAGCAGCAGCATGGCCACCTTCTGGTTGTCGTAATGGGCCGCCACGTGGAGGGGAGTGAGGCCGTTCTGTAAGGGTGGGTTATGGCGTTAGGCAGTGGCTTTGCGGGGAGCCGTTAGTGCGTAAGGTGACCGGCGTCCTGCGGGGCGAGGGGCTGCGAGGGGCAAAGGGCGAGCCCACAGCAGGCGGCCAGCCGTTAGCGGGGGAGAAGCGGTGGAGGAGGGTGAATCTGGGGTGCTTGTGGCCGCAAGGCTGGTTTCGGTCTCCCTGGAGCCCGTGCTAAGCAATTCCCAAAGCATGGGGGGGAACCGGGCTTTGCCCTCCGCCTTCACCCATTAGGATTTGGACAGCTTGGACAGCTTAATGGAAGTGCTCCTGAGCCACAGAAACATATCTGCCTTCAGCGCCACGAGCAGCGTGCCCTCACCCGACGCGCTCGGTAGCGCGGTTTCCGCAACTCGCGCACATAACCCATGACCCCTGGGGCAACGCGACCCGGACAAAGCCAAAGCCACCATGCGAAAGCAGCCGCAGCCTTCTTTCACGTGCATGTTTCACACAGTTCCTGCCTAAGGAACAAACCCAAACGCTGCCGGCTTTTTTCCTTTCTCGTCAGTACCTTGCCCGCAGAATCGGGAGAGGCACGACGCTGCAGCAGGAGTTTCGCCACTTCCAGGCTCCCATATTTGGCCGCCACGTGCAAAGGTGTGAATCCCTTCTGAAAAATTCCAGGAGATAAACAGCAGATGTTTGCGTTAAAGGTCATGCCGACATCTCTCTACGCGTTAAGTGGTTACTCTTCAACCTACGTTCTAGCTCGCAGAATCAATAGCCGTACCCAGAAAGAGCATCATCTCTTGAAAGCACTTTGAGAAGCATGAAATACAAGAAAATACTTTCCCTTTATTATTCTTTCTTACGGACGTGCTGTCAGGCTGGCAGACATTTTATCCGATACAGACTCTACTAGCAACACGCACCGTCTGTGTGGGCAACGAAAGCACTTGTTCAAATTTCTACTCAAAACCAGCTGTACTTTTCAGTTTCATGATGAGAGCTTTAGAAATACTTCCCGTATCAATTGTTGCCAGTAACAATGAAACACCAACTAAATTCGGTGAGAAAAGCTCCAAACTTCGTATTCCTCCTTTAGAGTTTGTCGAAGAACGCTTTATGTTTGGACTCACGCATCCATAGTCACTAAGTGCTGCTGCAGCCAAAAACCCCTCACGCCCGACTCAATGGCAGTGCTTTTGGAAACACACTGCGGCGAGACTAAAAATCTTGTCTTTTAAAAAGAGTCCTTTTCTCCTTGTTTTAATAATGCTTGTCAATACAGCAGAGGTGTAAGGTCTGTCCAACTAACATGCTCTTTGCCCGTTCTCTTAAGTTAAAAAAATACGTTGGTAAGGAAAACTCATGGATGCAAGACTGTAGGTGGCAGACTGCACCGCTGCCCCGACAGGAATTCCGGGGAGCTACAATGACCTATTTGCCTGACACGTAAGTGATGTTTAATGTTTACTATCATTTCCTTCCATTAATCCCGCCCCAGAAAGAGTTTATGTCAGGGAATCTCAAACATTTCCAGTTCATGAACCACAGGTTTGTTGAGAGATTATCTAGCGGACTACTCCTAGTCATAATTATACAATGTTCCTGCAGTACTAAAGCAATTGCCATAAAGCAATATGTGAAATTAGGAAAGTACTTAGTGTATTTTTAGCCATTTTAATGTGATTTAACAGCTGGATAAAAGAAGAACAGCAAGCATTCCCAGTAATCCGTGGATCATAATTTGAAAATTGCTGGTTTAGTCCTCTAAACCCTGGAAGACACCCCATTGTTCAAAAATACGTTTTAAGCTCCAGCTGTAAAATCAGGGGTAATTTTTTAAGACCTAAAATAATAGTGAGAATTAAGTGATTCTCACTTAATCACATGCGATAAATTTGGAAAAGATCTCTTGGCACATTATTCTATTCACAGCTACCTATTTCCTTACGTGTTCATCACTCTGTAAGGAATCTATTAGTAAACATTTTTGGCTACCAAAACAATAACGATTCTGCAGGCTATTTCTTTTATAACCCCAGACAAAATGGCCTATGGCGTGCTATGACACCTCATTTATAAAGCCACTGAAAACAGACTCAGCATTACATGCAATGGACAGATCCCGACTTGTACGTTTTAGGAACATTCCTTTCAGCTAGCACACACAAGAATTATTTTGCTATTTAAATAAACAAGGTATTGAAGAATAAGCAGGCCTGTTGATAAAAAGTTGCCGTCATCACCCCATTCTCTTTTTTGAAAATTTTGGCCAAAAAGGCCTTACCCATAACACAATGGGAAAGAGAGAAACGAGGACTTTGTTGTACATTTTAAACCTGTCTGGACTGTATTTATCATGACTTGCATTGGGCTCCAGTGGGAACCAGACTCCCAACTTTAGACGACAGCAAAATATGTCAAAATTTTATTATCTCTGACACATTACTTCAGTCTATTGGTTCGTTGTCGATTAAGTAAGAACAAAAGACCCAACCTAGTTCAATTTCTCAGCATGAAAGTACATTCCTCGTGGGACAGGTGCGCGCTGGCATGTACTGCCTGTGCTACTGGCGTACAGACATGGAGTATTTTGTCTTACTTTGGTGGACATGGAGTGCGAGGCACCTGCCTCTAGGAGAACTGATGCGACATCAACTTGTCCCTCTCTGGCGGAGATGTGCAGTGGAGTGTACCCGTTAGTTGTTGCGGCATCAGGGTGAGCCATGTGCTGTAGCAGAAGTTGGACTATCTCCGTTTTCCCCAAGCGAGAAGCAATGTGCAGTGGAGTCTGTTCTTCCTACAACTCAAATCGAGTGGATAATTAGCGCAGGTAGAACCACCCTGAACACAATATTCTGGTTGTTCCCAACAGATCTATCTCTTCATTTGTCTTGCAAAAATCACAGGAAGCAATAGTACGGAGAAAGGCAGTAATGGAGGGCTCCCGGGTTAATTTTATGCAATGAATTTCATAAAAACTTCAGCAATGTCTTATTAGAACATCAAGAAAAACATTGGTTTTCCCTTTTATCAAGCAGATAGCGCACACCACTGTGAGCATCACGTGCTCCCCTTTGTGCTAATTTTTTTTTACAACAGCTGTACTTTCTCTATAAGCAGTTGCCTTGGTTTCACAATCCGGCACTGAATGTTATCGGAACCTCCGATGTTTGGTTTTAGGACATGGCTGTTGTCATGGTTTAGCCTCCTTGCTCCGACAGACTAGCTATTGCTGGTCTGAGTCAGGCACATTATACTGGGTCTAGCCAGGATGGAGTTAAATTTCACCCCAGCAGCCCGTATGGTGCTCTGGTTTAGGTGTTTTAGCTATAGCTCAACAGTGCTTACACAGCTCCAAGGCTTTCTGCTTCTCTCTCTGCCCCCCCAGGGAATGGGATGGGGGTGAGCAAGAGGTTGGGAGGGGACACAGCCAGGACAGAATTGACCGAAGAGATAATCCACGCCACGTAACGTCACGCGCAGCAATAAAACGAGGCGGTGAGTTTTCCCAAAGAAGCCGCTGCTCGAAGACTGCCGGGACATCGCTCTGCTTGTGGGAGGTGGCGAGTGATTGCCTTTGCATCACTTGTGGTGGGGAGGGGTTGGTTTTGTGGGCTTGGGGTGGTTATTTATCCTTTCTCCTTTATCTATTAAGCTGTCTTTATCTCTACCCAAGAGATTTTCTCGCTTTCGCCTTTCCAGTTCTCCCCCCTCCACGCCGCTGCAGGGCAGTAAGCGAACGACCGAGCGGGGCCGGGCTCAGCCCACCGCACACGTTCTCTTTGGAAGGTCTACGCATAAATAGGTTACTGTTTTCGGAACTGGCTTTAGGTGTGCTTAATATTGAATCAACAGATCAAATGGAAAGGAAACTGCTCCTCCCCTAGCTCCTCTGCTCCAGCTGCATTTCTGAGTAAGAGAAAGCAATAAAAACTGTAAGCAGAACACCTACCCTGGCCCGGGCATCAACCAGGGCCCCGTTTCTCAGGAGGCAGCGAACGACTTCCACCTGCCCGGCACGTGCCGCCATGTGCAACGCCGTTTCTCCACGCTGCAGAAAAGCAAAAGCATTTCAGTGCCCTAAACCTCCATGAAAAAACAGAGCTCCGACGGGGCAAATTCCACCCACATCAACTTGTGTCGACACTCGCCCTTCGGCCAGCTGAGAATCTGGCTTCAGACCCAGGAACAGGCCGTTCAGGAGGGCGTTGCTTTGGTTTGCAAACTCGGTGATCCCAGACAAACGTAATCTCGCTACAGAGGGGCAGAATGAAAATCCAGGCTTATAGAAAATTCTGCCTTATAGACTCCCCCGGTCACATATGTTCGTCAGCTTTCCATGTAACCGTGCCGCATGGGAGATAAGAAGAGCCTGTCTCTCTCAAGGGATTGCGAGGCACACGAGCCTCGAGATGGAAAGGGATATTTTTCCAGATGGTCTCTTCCTGCACGCCGCGTGGAGCTGGCAGCATTAAAAGGCCTTGCGATGGCAGCGCACAACTGAGCCAGCATATGAAACATGTAAAATCTGTGCTCAGCGTGGCTCTGCCTCCAGGCTACGGAATGAATCTTGTTTCAAGCCTTTTGTAACCCAAAGAATTTTGAAGGAGAATACGAAATTTTGGAAAGCTGACTGGAGTGATGTGGAATTTCAGAGCAGGATAATGAAGCGTGGATGACACACTCAAAGCATTTACTCTTTACGTAGGTTTGCAAAGGAACGCTGAAAGTGAGTATTCCTTGATGATGGCGTTTCTAGCTTAATTTTGCGCTGTCCATCATTGTTTGAGCGCACTGTCCTGAAGTGGACTAAAACAGTCCCTGTGCAGCTCATCGGTATCTGGTACATTAGGCACCGGGACAATTCTGCAACCAGGAGCTCTGTATTTATCTATCATGACAACACAGCAGGACTGATCACTTCTTTGTGTTAATTGTTCCTTCTTACTCTAGAGATGGAGTATATTCTGTTGTAACGCTTTTATCCCCAGGACTATCAAATTAAACTGTAAATGCAAAAATGAACGCTCTGGTCAAGATCTTTTGCATCAGAAGCAGGAATCATGTCTTCTCGTCCTTCATCTAGATGTAGCAAAAGAAGCAGCCTGAGCTTGCCTACTATTATGAACTTCTCATTAAAGCAAACCCTCTTCACCAGGAGTTGACTTAGCTTGTCATTTTAAAATTAACATTACATTACCAGCTGTGATTAGTGAGTAGGCAACAAAGTCCCACGGCTCTAGCTACAAATCTTAACAGAGAATTTCATCTATATAAACTTTATTACCTGAAGAACGAGCTGTTTAAAATGTGAATAAAGTTTACATTTCACACACTTTAAAGATCAAATTTCTACGAAGACCCTTTTGTACTTGATTTAGCAAAGCAATTTAGCTTTTGGAAACAGTTAGTAATTCAACAGGGAACTTCAGGTTACCAAGTAAAAGCCAAGACACTTGTGTACCATAAATCGTAAAACGTTAAACTTTGCCCACAAATGTCCAGTAACACAATATTTGTAATTGCTTCTACAAGAACGTCTTGTTGGCTTTCATACAATTAATAAAGTATAAAGATTGCTTTATTAAAATTTTGTATAAAGATTGCTTCTATAAAAAGTATGAAAGCAGTAAGAGACTTTGTCAAGAAAAGTCTGTTCTAACAATTCAAGCAAAGAACTCTGTGCATTCAACATTTTTACTAGGTTCCATGTAAGATTTTTCTAACTAAGAAAAACTGATGAACCCACTGTACTTGGATTACTACATTTTTGTTGTTGGGAACACTTATCTATAACATTATTCACTGGTAAATAGCTGCTTTCAAAGTGCAGGTGGTCATAAATTGAATATTTGTTTATACTGACAAAGTCAAACAGTAAGATACCTGTGAAATACAGCTCAGAAAACGATCCTGTTCTTTTGATTGTTATTCTTCTTGGTAACTAGGCTATTGGTATACAAACACGGATTGCTACGGTAAGTCACGTTCTGCATTTTGTGTTACCTCCCAAAGGTCACATTTTCTAGATTTAAGCATGTTCTTTCAAAAGGCACCCGTTCCTGGAATTTCCTGTATAAGAGGAACATCTTGAGTTTAACATTTTTAGGTTTTGTTTAGTAGTTAGGTTTTAAGCATTTTATACCCTTTCACCGATACAAATGACACAATTTCGTGGCAGCCAGTGAAGCTATGCAAGCAGAAACTGGAGCCATTTGGACTTAAATTTCATCCTTCAGAACGGAAACACAGTATTCCCTGTGACTTGGCTTATAATCAGTTTTGGATATATTCGGTGAGCTCTTTCTGTTTCTAAGGGAAACTTGACCTGCTCGTGCATCGTTGAAGAATACATGAAACCACAGATGGCTAGTAACGCGTATACCATCACTGCTTTCCCCTCTTCACTAAGGGTGCTAGAATAATTTGTCCTAAAATGCAATGAAGTCACAGAGTATCATTAAAATGTGACCTTTGGTTGAGCTACATGGTAGGCCGGACCCTTTTGGGAGGAGGTATTGCACGGGTGATTCTAGTCAAAGCCATACTCACAATGTTAGTGACATCGGGAGAGGCTCCGTTCTGCAGCAGAAGCAGGACTATGTTCAAGTGGCCCATAAACGCAGCCACGTGTATTGGTGTGAGGCCCGACTGCGAAACAAAGCAAGAGCAGTTTTACTCCTCTGCACGGGCGCAGGGAAGGGGCTTCTTCGTTTAAACAGAACATAAGTGAAAGCGAGGCACGACAGGAGAGAGAAAAAAAGAAGCAAAAAGAGAGAGAGAGAGGAGGAATGTTTCTTCAGGACATGAAACATTTTTCTACCTCTGTTATAGCCTGGATTGAAGCCCCATATTTCACCAGGAGTTCCATGACTTTGATGCGATTTTTCTTGCAGGCAATGTGCAGTGGAGTAAAACCATTCTGTGCAAAAGACAGTCATGTTAGTTAAAGACATGCAGCTACACTTTCCACACAGCCCCACGCTGGCACGCTGGGAGCGGAAGCGTTAGAGTACCAGAAGCAATTGTTCTTTAAGCACAACAGGTTACGAATTATAGACATCTCCCAGTCGTCCGAGGTGGAACAAAGCAGCGCCGCTGCTTTCTTCTCGGGCAATGGAGAGGGACCGAACGTCCACCTCCAAAAACCAAACACAGACACGCCCATTCTGACTTTCAAGTGTATGAGTGTGCGCATCTACGTTTGTGGTTCCGAAGGTTGCACGCGTGTGTACGTAAGGTTGACTTCAAAGTGGTTCTCAAGATTGCCTAACACAAAGAAAATAGAAGAAATTCTAGTGATCGCTGTGAAATCAGTTAGTGTCTTCTGAAATGCATAAAGCATATTCTATACATCTCTAGGAAAAGAACAGAGTACGTCTTCCAGCTTCCACCTTATTTGATTTGGCTTTTTTAAGATTATTTTGTAATCTAAGTATCTGTGTGCATTTATTTTTATATTTATGCATCCACCTACAGTATACTGTATTCGCGCGCGTGCGCGCACGGACATTCTGTGAGGTATCTTAAATAAATAATCACTACTCCAGCCGTGGTTTCACGATACAAAGAGTTCACTCTTGAAGTCTATGTGGTCCTTCTTTCCTTTATTCCTGCCCTGCTGAGTCATAAAGCATTCTAAGCAAGGTATCAGCCCTCATCTGGATTAAAATTAAATGGGGCAGGGACAGGAATGAAAAGGGGGTGAGGAAGGGAAGATCTGAAATCAAGATTGCAACCTAGTGTTTGGTTCTTGTGAGACAATAGTTTTAGTGTTGTGCTTAGCATCAGCACAACACTATTCATTTCTTTGGAAATGCTTATTCAGCAAGATTGGGGCCCAAATGAAAGCACGTCTTCGTACTCTGTACCGCAATACATGCTTCAACTTCAAGCTTTTTCTACATACTATTATAGTTAATGCAGGTTAAATATGTGCCTAAAGCTAAGCAAACACATTATTTACCATACGTGGACATTTTAGTGAAAAGCACAGGTACCATTTTTAGAAAAGGCTGAAAAATTGCTGTATTTTCTAATGAAAAGGATCAGTATTGCTAAACGTCAACTAGCAGTAAACAGAACTTATCGGTGAAATCTTAGCTCATGGAAAGGGAAGTGTGACAGGTTATTCTACAGGCAGCTTCTGTTAAGGGAAATGTTAATTACTAGTTGATTTGAAGGTGCTTTAACGCATATGCAAATTGGAAAAAGGTAAGAATTCATATAGTGCTTGTATCTCCAAATCATTTTGCAAACATTAACAATTCTTTTTTAAATCTAGTTGAAAATTAAGTATTTGTAAAATTTATTCCATCACAGCACTGCTGAATATTATTACTACTATTAGCCTTCTCCAATTTCTAAAGAAGGAATCAAAACCATTAGATATCTTACCTCCCGCACAACATCTCTCAATATATGTCACAGGGAGTTTTACTGTTTCAGGAGTTTCCAAATTTTCACCTGATTTTACTGCCTGAGTTGATTTAATTTTGCTACATCTATTTAGGTGAGGAACAGTTTGATGGGGGAGAGAAGGCAGAAAAAACATATCACTAACAGAAATCATCAGCATCGTTTAACATATTAAATACTAGAAACAAGTCAGAGGCAACAAGTCCCTGATGGGAGAGGAAAACAAGAGAGGAGGAAAAAAAAACAGTCTGGAGGGAAGACAGCAGAGAGGCAGCGGCCTGAGGGTGTTCTCCTTCCATTTCAGATGCTTCTCTGGGAGGGAGGGAGGAGGAGGAACAGAAGCTGTATTTCTGGTCATGGAAGGAAAGAAAGAAGATGTGGGGGCTAGCATGTAATGTGTATGTGTGGGTAGCTGAGGAACGTACAGCTAAAGATGATCAGAAGACTGGCAAGAAAAACAAGAACAGATGAAAACAGCATCGAATCCCCTGTTCAGTTTTGGGCCCCTCACAAGAAGGACACTGAGGTGCTGAAGCGTGTCCAGAGAAGGGCAACGAAGCTGGTGAGGGGTCTGGAGAACAAGTCTGATGAGGAGCAGCTGAGGGAACTGGGGTTGTTCAGTCTGGAGAAGAGGAGGCTGAGGGGAGACCTCATCACTCAGTAAGGTGGATGTGGGTCTCTTCTCCCAAGTAATGAGAGATAGGACAAGATGAAATGGCCTCAAGTTGCGCCAGGGGAGGTTTAGACTGGATATTGGGAGAAATTTCTTTACTGAGAGAGCTGTCAAACACTGGAACAGGCTGCCCAGGGAGGTGGTGGAGTCACCGTCACTGAAGTGTTCAAAAAACATGCAGACGTGGCACTTGGGGACATGGTTTAGTGGGCATGGTGATGTTGGGTTGATGGTTGGACCTGATGATCTTAAAGGTCTTTTCCAACCTTAATGATTCTGCGATTCTGTAAAAAAAGATCAACCAAGTCAACATGATACTGACAAAGACAAAACAAGAAAAGCATAAGAAGAGGAAGCAAGAGGTGTTACGGGACTTGCAGGTATAGAGACATCAAGAAAAATGAGAGGGCAGAAGAAAATGGCGTCAACAGAAAGTCAGTTCCAAGGAAGCAAGGGAAGTAAGGGACTGGGGGGGCTTCCACAGAAAAACACAGGGTCATATTGAAGTCAAGAAGCTGGGGAAGACATCAGAGTGGCTTGTGGTGAAAGTTCTGTGGAGGCACTGAATACAGCAGGCAATGGCAGACTTCTTGCCATGCAGAAGTATCTCAAGTGTTCACAGGCTCTTTCTTTCCCCCACTGAGTGTAATATATTGGTATTTTAACTTCCATCCAGCTAACAGTTCATGAGGACACTTCCTATTAGAGAAGATTGGAATCTTGTCTGGGTTTGGATAGATTAAAGACTCTTGAAATCTTTGTATGTTCCCAGAGACAAATGTGATGTTTTTCTCTCAGTAGGCGTGTAATGACCTGATTGGTGAGTGAAAGGAATCATGCCTGTTTTCCTGTAAGCGTCAGAAGAACCGTTTTTTTGAAAAGGAAAAACAAGTGCACCTAATAGAGGGGAATATCATACTTCGATAAATGCAGAAATACTATGCTTTTAATATATTTTCTCCATGCCAATTAACTTACTGATTCAGTTGAAAGCTTAGACATTATTTGGGTATCGTATCACGTAGTATGGAAAACTGGACTATTAATTCAGTAAAACACCAATGCATCCATTAGCATCAGCTAGAAATGGCGCTGACTTTAGGAACTCTGTAGAGTTTCCAGACCCGGTACTACAGCCATGGGACGTGGTCCATGACTAGGCCTGATGATATGAGATACAATACTGGTAACCAGCAGGTGTACAAGCCCTGTTGTTACTGCAACTATTGAAGGGTTGCAATAAAGCTTTACTGGTAAGAGCTACTCATCTGTCCTGGACAGCTTTGTTACACAGCACAGGTGGGACAGGTTTACCAGGGCACGAGCATTGGGATTTGCTCTCTTGTCCAGAAGGAGTTTGGTGACACGATAGTGGCCGCAGTGTGCGGCCACGTGGAGGGCGGTCAGGTAATCCAGCGTGACATCATCCACGGGAGCTTTGTGCTGCAGTAGGTGTTTGACACATTCCACGTGGTCCCCCTGGGCCGCCATGTGAAGTGGAGAGAGTCCGTTCTGTGGCGAAAGAAAACAAAACAGTAACTTCTAGTAACTCCCACTAAGATCATGGCACATTTTAGAAGGATGCCATCATGAATTTGCAGAATACCCCCATCGCTCAAACACAACCGCATCTGAGCTACAGACTGGAAGAAAAACTGAAAAAAAGCTATAGCTACCTCTCCCCTTCCAGCAAATACAGGCAAATTTAGAAGAACATCATGTAATTAACTAAAATCAGAATTTAATCAAAGCAAAAGAATCTAAGGGTCTTGCCTCATGATTTAATAAAACAGATCTTGACCTTAAAAGACAGTTCTGGGGATACTCATCATAACACTAAAACGTAGCTTGTATGTTAATTAGAGGAAAAGCACTCACTTACCCATCATCGTATTTATTAAGGAACCTATATTTTTTTTTTCTTTAAGTGTTCAATTTAAAAAACAAACTATATTGCCAAACCTGACCCCTGAGCTTCTGGGAAATGATGCTTTCAACCACCACCATGGTTGGACGTTTTGTTCAAACCATAACACTTGAAGGGCAGTGGAAGCAGGAGTTTTATAGCCCTGGCTTTAATAGACCTTTTTGTAAATATTGAAGTCCATAGAAGGTAGACAATTAAGAGGAAAGAGAATTGTTGCTATTATTATGTGTAACAAGCTGTTTTCAGAAAAAAATTGTTTTAATATTTACACGTTTGTCTGTCTCCAGTTTGGAACCACCTGCTTCCGTTGGAAGTTAGAAGAGGAAGTGGCTTTTAAATCTAATTTCATTTTACATTCAATAAGGTACTTAGAAAGCACTGCATGTTTAAAGATAGGCTATAACATATAGACTTGAACAGGTAACTGACCTGGTGCGGTCAAACTGACTGTTCATTTGTCACCTGGAAGGAGGGGATTATTCACTGGACCGTTCTGCTCTGCTCAATCCTCAACACAGTGGGGGACATGCAGTGCTGATATTTTGTCCTGACTGGCAACACCTGCCTTTGAATGGCAACACCCGGGAATCCTGCCTGAAGCATGCACAAGATGCGTGGCAGGTTCTGTTCTTCTGAGCCTCTCTACCTCTTAGTGCAGTGAGGCTGTTGCCACACGAGTTTCACCCAACCACCTTCTCCCACCAAAGGAATCAGTG